TTCATGCCCGAACCGGGCGTTCGAATTATTTTATTTATTTATTTTTTTTTTAATTCAATTATATTAATATAATTAATTTAAAATATGTTTTATGTTTGTAGGATGTCTAACTGGATGAAAAAATTAGGAATGGGAAAAGGAAAAGGTCCCCTGATTCGTCCTCCTGCAAATCCGGTGGAGGAGAATACTGCGGAACGGGAGGGCAGAACGCACAACCGTAATGTTACCAGTTCTAAACGTCGTGGGGAACGGACTGGTGCTTTTGTACAACCGCGTATGACAATTGAGGAGGAGGAGGAGTCAGAGGCAGAGCCCGAGCAGGAGATGGATACATATATGGATCCCCACGAGAACGAGTACGATCCAGGACTACGTTTTCAGCAGAAGTATCAGTTCCCGGTGCCTGATTTGCCATCCGGTGATGATGACGAGGACGGTTTGACTCCGCCTCCGCCTCCGCCTTATACAATGGCTGGTACTTCCGGTGGTTCTACTCCTGCCCCAAACCCGAGGTCCCGGCCCGGTCCGAAAAAAACTCTTCCTACTCGACCGTGGAAGTTGATTGGTGAAACACCCGGTGGACCAAAATACCCTCATTTGATTCCGAGTTTTGGAGCCCATATTGCCTACGACATCTGGGAGGGAAAGGTAATACTTATTAATTTTAATAAATTTTGTTTAAAATGTTTATAGTTGATTTTTCTATTCTTAAATATCAATATATATTCAATAGGGCCGACATATGTTGAAGTTGCGGTCTCATGCGAAGTCTACTTGGTCGGGGCCCGACGACTATTATAGTGTTTCACTCTTGGAGAGTACCGGGTTGTATCACTTGCGTTATTGTTCGCTCCCTCGGCACAATAACCCGTTGATAGAGGTTTTTATCGAGAGGTGGCAGCCAGACACCAACAGCTTTCACATGCCGTTTGGAGAGATGACAATTACTCTCCACGATGTGCACTATATCATGCATTTGCGAGTTAGTGGAAAGCGCCCTAACGTTTGGATTGATAAGGCAGATGCGATTTATGCGGGTGCGAGAGCGTTCGGTGTCGAGCCCCCAGTTATGGAGAAGTGGTATGGAGGCGGATCCCGGTTAGATGATTTGGATAGGATGTATGGCGACGATTGTTCATTTGCTTCCGAGTTTCGGGTACGAGCATATATTGCGTACTTGCTTGGAAAGCTATTGTTTGTCGATAAGAGTGGATCGAAGGTGAAAGCAGATTTTTTCCCACTTTTAGAGCATATCGATATGATTTCCGACTATTCCTGGGGTTCGGCTACATTGGCCTATTTGTATCGACAATTGGGCATGGCTACGCGAGCTGAGGCGGCGCAGATGGGTGGTTGTCTGACACTGTTAGAGGTAATTTTTTATTTGTAGTAACCCCTCAATTTTTTCCTTTATTAATATCACCAAAATGTTATGTTTAATATGCCGTTTTATTATTTTTGTAGTGTTGGATATATGAGTATTTTCCGTGTTTCCGGCCTCCGATGGTTAACGCACATGTGAATGGAGAGCCCTGGTGTAAGAGGTGGCAGGTGATACATCATATCCCTAAAGACGAGGATATACTTGTTGATTATCGTCGACGTCTTGATTCTATGCGTGCGTCAGATGTAAGTATGAAGTTTAAATAAATTAAGATTTATATATTTACTATGTTTATTAATACATTTCAATTATTTATACATACGCACAGGTGAATTGGACGCCATTTGGAGTGAATGTGTCACGTGAAGTTGAAAAGACGGTTCATCACGGGACTATTCGATGGATGGATACGGTCGAGCCTTACATGCCCGATAGAGTTTTGCGTCAGTTCGGATTTCGGCAGATTAAACCGTCGGACCCTATTCGTCCGCTAAAAGGTGCTAAGAGGGAGATAAAATTAGCATCTTACAAAATTAGCTACGAGCCTGGCGATCAGATGTGGAATATCCCTCACACGCACATGCTTAGTGAAGATTATTATGGTCATTGGGCGCGTCCGACTTGGGAGTCGACACCGGAGTATTTGCCGTGGTACCTCGACCACACCCACGTTCGTATACATCCTAGTACCGAGCCGGTTGAGAGAGCGGAGCCATCTGCAGTTCCGTTTGTGTACGACATCACCCGGGTGTTGCATCCCTACTTCTACGATAACTTGCCACCGCCGACTATTCCAGGATTTCGACAGATTCCCGATGACTTTTTCAGGACGATTCAGGACATGTGCGCCCCATTCGCCGAGTATCTACAGTTGGATCGTCCTAATGCTTCTGACGAACAAGAAGCAGGATACTCACATATGCGACATTCTCAGCGCAGGCGTCGGACGAGAGATACGTAGGTGTTTATTTTTAATGTTTTTATTATTCGAACTTCTTTGGTGTTGATGTTTTTTGCTTTGATTTGGACTTGTTGATGTTTTGTGTTTTTTATTTGGACTTGTGATGTTGATTTGATTTGGACTTGTTGTTTGATTTATTTGGACCTGTTATTGTGATTTTGTGTTCTTTTAATATAATAATAATAATAATAATAATAATAATAATAATAATAATAATAATAATAATAATAATAATAATAATAATAATAATAATAATAATAATAATAATAATAATAATAATAATAATAAGAATGACAACAACTACTAACGACAACAACAACAACAACAACTACAACAACAACAACGACAACAGCAACAACAGCAACAACAACAACAACAACGCAACCACAACAACAACATCATCAACAACAATACACACACAACAACAACAACAACAACAACAACAACAACAACAACAACGACATCAATAACAACAATATTACTAAATCAAACACTAGTTAGACTATCCCACGCTTCACGTCGCTCCCGCAATGCATGTGGCAAATATGCAACAGTATGATTGTTGTATCTCGCCCACTGCAGGTTAAACGGTGGAAGCGGACAGTTGTCATTCAACTTCAGATACACAAAGTGGCTTCCTGCTTCAAGAAATAGTATAGTCATCTGGTAAGATAACTGTGAAACACCTTCGGGAGCCCAAAGTGGCAAATAAGTCTGATTTCCCAAACTACTAGCCGACAAGACCAACGCGTTGTAATATGTTGCTACAACCACGCCCACGTCCGTGATCGTCATCCACTTTTCCAGAGGTGCTGGAGCGTTATCCCAATAACCGACACTCGCCAACACCCGATACACTGAATTACCACCTCAGAAATAATCATTGAAAAACGTCATATGCTCTCTAATACAGGTATACACTTCCAATCTAACATCCATCCAATCATCCTCACTGTTCTTGACTGCACACGCCACGCTCCGATAACCACAATTACCATCCCCTAGAACGTCCGTCCAGGTCACAATCTCCGGAACGAGGCAAAAATGAAGTTCTCGCATCCAACTAGGTCGGGGCATTCTTCTCATTTCGGGTCCACTCACAGTCGATGAACGACCACGAGATCTCTCAGAAGATGAACCACGGCCGTTATTGCCTCTTGATCGTCTTCGTCCTCGTCCTCGTCTCGAATTTTCTTCGCCCGGGTATAATGGCAACTCATGTGATGAGTCATCCCTCTGTGTGGAGTTGTTCCGCGGTCTACCTCTCGGGCGGTCAAGTACTGGTGGCTCATTTATTTCCGTCGCCCCAGGATGCATTCGTTCAAAAACGACATCTGCCACGTCCGTGATCTCAATTTCTGAACGTGCACGCAACTCATCAATTAACCCGTCTAGCCTGCCAATAGCCTGTGCCCTGTGATCGGGTACAGAACCAACACTTTCTTCTTGGCCAGGCCCGAATCCCGAAACAAATGTCCTCCAAAAAATGTGGACATCCTCCGCATAAAACACACCACGTCGTGCATTCATCTTTGCGTCAATTTCATGTTTGCATGGGAGGCCAAGACATTTCCTCATGTAACAGACGCAACTGTCTATATCTTCATCTTTCTCATCGTCCAACATCATTAGTGCAGAATGTGTTACAATTCCACTCGACAATATTTTAAATACGGGCACATTAATCGTATGGGCCTGAATCCGCTTTGACTTTGCAAATTCTGCCAGAATCTCGTTAAGTTGATCTGCAATCTGTGTGTGATACTATGCCCAAAATGTGTCAAAGCCACCTGTGGACGAAGCCAACCATCTCTTCAATGCTCTATGGTTGCTCTCCACCCTAATTTGATTAAAGTAGGTTATGTTTCAGTAAACAACATGACAATGAGTTAAGTATATATATTTAACCACTGATAAATAAATACCTGCTTGTCGATGTATTGCCGAGATGAAAAACTAGATCCGTCCATGCTTTTACAAATTTCTCTTTGTATATCAGCCAAGTGTCTTGGAGGTACTCAATCAACTCTGGATGATTCGCGTAATCGTTCACTAAAACTCTATAATTCCGGTAGAAATCTTCTTCACACACTGATGTTACCAAAGTTTGCCACGGACCGACTACAAAAGCAAATCCTCGACGCCTACTATTGCCAAAACACTTTGAAGCACGACGCCCCACATTAATGTTAATGTGCCAAAGACATAATAGATGAGGCACAGTCGGAAATACATTCTCTATCGCCTTTAGGAGCCCTAACTCGCAATCAGTCACGAGTGCACTAGGTAGAGTATGTGGGGGGAAAAGTCTCTTCAACCTTTGCAACACCCATGTATAATGCTCTTCATTTTCATGGCGCATAAAAACCACTTCAACAGTAAATTTTTTTCCAACCGGAGTAACACCAACAATCTCCAACAAAGGCAATTTGTACTGATTGGTTTTGTAAGTACTGTCAAGTAGTATAACGTACGGAAACTTACTTAACAATTCGACAGATAGAGGGTGAGCCCACATCAAATCGATAACTGCATGTGTCGTTTCATCTGTACGGAACCACTTGTAATAGTTATGCTCCTCAAGCAACCCAATCAAATGTTGCATCACTGTACGGTCGCCCCTAGCTAATCTTCTCAACTTCGCCTTTTCATTGTATATTTGTTTCGAATAAGCATCGAGACCCAAGCCATTTTTTCTCAAGTTAGCCAAAATCTTCTTGGGCGGCACATGACTTTGTGAAAGATCCTTGATAACCTTCGACTCCGCTTCATTCAATGCACTAAGCCCATGCCCAGATATGTATATCGGATGATGATTATGCTTCCCATATACTATTCTGAGCTCCCATCTATCGTCCAACCGCCGGTCTCCTACGATTTGAAAACCACATTTTATTTTTTTGCTACCAGACCTTTTCGAGGACGGCTCTGCGTTACTTTCTCGAGGCTTTCCGAATAGGTCACAAGTCAGACACACTTTCTTTATTTTGGGGGTACTTTTTCTAATTAATTTCACGAAAAGAGCTCTTGCAACGGACCGAGCCCAATCCACTAACTCGTCCCCCGAGTCAAACAATTGAGTTGTTGTAAAATAATCGGTATGATCAACTTCAACTCTAGACGTATTGTCCTAAAAAGAATATTAAAAAATTATTTAAAAAAAAAAAAAAATGTAAAACCGGACGCCCAACTCGGGCGCCCAAAGAAGCTGTGCACGCCCAAGTTGGGCGTGTGGCCGGTTTTTGGGGGCCCTAATTGGGAGAGGAGGTAATTTTTGCCCCCCCAAATCGGGTATGACCCGCTTCTTCGGACGCCCACTTTGGGCGCCCAAGTTGGGCGTTTGGCCAATTTTTCGAGTTTTTCCGATCGAGAAGAAGAAATTTTTACCTCGCTAGATCCGCTATCACGATCTTCATCCGACGAGCTCATTTGTTTTCGTATATCACACCAACAAGAATGATTTTTAAGCAAATTCTCTTCAAAACCTTCTTTTTCTAGAGAGATGGAATATTTTATTAATAACCGTGAATAGCAATTTTGCAACCACGAAAAGCAAGTCCCTTATTTTTTAATTCTTCAAAGCCGAAAAAGTTATTATAACACTTATTGAAAAAACGCTATAAGATAGTGCTATTACAAGCCAATTTTGTTGCAGTGAGATTGTCTTATAGCCTCAGTGTCTGCAATGTATTCAAATTTTGTTATTGAAAGAGCAACAATATTTTGAAGTTGTGATTTGCCGCTTATACAAGATCAACACATAGAATTTTGTAAGCTTCATATTATTTATATCATTTTCATAATTGAAATCCACATAAGCACACAAAAAAATTCATTTATCACACTTATAAAATTCAAATCCAGTTTCAATAGATCCTTTAAGATATCTCATTAGCCATGTTACTGTCTCCTAACGGGGCAAGCCAGGGTTAGCCATGTACCTGCTCAGACAACTTATAGCATATGCAATGTCAGGTCTTGTGCTGACCATCAAGTACATTATAGAACCAATTGCTTTATCATAAGGAACAAATTTCATATCACACTTTTCAGGTTCAGTCTTTGGAGACTGTTCCTTACTTAACATAAAATGAGCTGCTAAAGGCACAGTAACAGATCTGACATCTTTCATGGAAAATTTATCTAAGATCTTTTTCATATAGGCAGATTTGATTAGAAACAAAGAGCAATCTTTTATGTTCCTAATTATGTCCATACCTAGAATTCTCGTAGAATCACCAAGATATTTCATGTCAAAATTATCACTAAGACAGGTTTTCACATGATCAATGACTTTCAAGCAAAGACTGGCAATAAGCATGTCATCAACATAAATCAAGAGGAAGACATGAGATTGAGAATCATCTTTGAAATACAAGCAAGGATCAAAGAACTTCGTTTAAATTTCAAAGATATCATGCAAGCATCAAATTTTCTATTCCATTGCCTACGAGATTGCTAAAGTCTATACAGAGATTTCTTCAACAAACAGACATAATCAGGATGCACATAATCAACAAAACCCTCAGCTTGTTTCATGAAACTTTGCCATCCAAGTTCACCATGCAGAAAAGAAGTTTTTGTTGGAAATCGGACATGTGTACGCAGCGGAAACCAAAAAAATTATGCAAATTAAACGAATTTAAAACACATAAACACATGCCCGATAATTGAAAACAATTAATTGCGTAACTTTGCGCTTCCAGCGTAATTAAAAACAACATACATGCGAATTATTTAATCGAAATTCAATCAACTAGCATGCTCGCATTAAATCAAATTATCAAGCTCGCAGTAAATAAACAATTTCATGTAGTCACATAAAATCATACAACATACTTACTAAACGAACATGCATATTTAATTTAAATGAAACCGAATCGAACGACAATGGATTCGAAACTTTACCTCTCGAAGCATGAGGTAGGCGCACTAAATGAAGCTAGATTGCCACGAAAACCAATCTGTGCAATCCGGGGCAGCAGCGGCGGTGCGAGCTACGGCGGCGCGTGTGGCTCACGTGCTGTCTTCGGGCGGCGAGTGAAGGCGCGTGCGTCGTCGGCTCGGGGCTGCTCCTCAATTCTTCGATCATCCTCCTCTCGGATTTCACCTCGTATACTTCGATCTACTAAAATCTGGCACTAGACACGCAGTAGTTAGAATAAACGGATGAATAAACAAAGAAAAGAACTACCATGAATTAATCGGGCAAGGGGAGGCCGATTCCGGCGAGTGTACGGCGACGGCGACGCTGTTGGCCACGGGGGGGAGATCGGCCGAGAGAAAGGGAGCGGCTAGGGTTACTTTGTGAGTTGTATTTGTGCAAGACCTATAAATCAAGTATTTATAGTGTCTTGTATAAATCCTTAACGGGCTTAAGTTGGACCGGGCCCAACAGCTTAAGTTCGTTAGTTCTTTTACTCGTTCGTCTCTCTCAATTCGATCATCGCAAAATTGTAACAATTACATTTTCGGAATCATTATAACGTCCTTGTCATTACGAAAGCCAATTCTCAATTTCTAACTTTCTAAAAGTGGAAACCCTAATTCAATGCACTTTCTAAATTTGGAAACTTCTCGATTTAGAAAGTCCACTAAGATGTTCGCCTATTCTTTTCCTTTTCTTATTCTCATTCATAATTCCAAATTACGAATGCTGGACCCAATCACATTGACTTCCAATCATGCAAAGATAAAACATTTTTACCTTTGACCGTTCATTCAAAGATCCATGTGCACGAGCAGTGTGACCCTCGATGGTTCAGGTGTAAGCTAGCCGTGGGCCCACAACCCTTTGTGGTCAAAACTCGTCCCTTAGACTTACGATTAAGATGAAGCTTGTTTCACCTTAATTACCCAACGAAGCAGGATTGGCGTCTAGCAACTATGTGTCATGATTCCCTAGATACAAATGAAGTGCCTGCAAGAACCTTTTGATATAGTTAGCGTACAGTACGATCCCTTCAATGACTGTGCGATCGTTCTAAGTTTTGTAATCGTTACGTGCATGACTTAGAAAATAGAATTCTCTAATCATCACTTAGTCAGTTCTGGCCAGAGACTTAGAGATTACAAACTATGAGAACACACAAGACATCCAATACTATTCTAGCGATCGAATCCCCGACTACAATGCACAGACCTCCCACTAGATTTCGGAGTGCACGAACACTGGCCCTTGGGGTGGTCCTCGGTGGAACTGAGGGACAGGTCACGATACAGCTGGTCCTCTAGTGAAGTCACGATGATGTCTAGGTCATAAGGACTAATGGTGTACAACTATACCATAGATATCTCTACTCGATTATTGAGAACCACTTAGAGATTTCTAGGGTGAGGGAGTTCAGTGAACTCGTCAACTTACGAGCACCCACTTATGCATGCCGATATTACAATATTGTTTACTGATGAGATGTAGTACACATACACTAAGTGCTAGTCTCTTAATGGGAAAGGCCGATATCCTCATTCACTACAAAAAAAAACGCTTTTTTTGTGACGATCTTTTGTGACAAATTCTAAATTCGTCTCATTAGTAATGGATCTTATGACGAAATTTCAAGTCGTCGCGTAAATTGAATTTTTATGAGACAAAATCATATTTTGTCACATAAAGTTCATTTTATGCGACAACATTAAAAAATCGTCACGAAAGGAAAGGCTGGCTAGTTCTAACAATTGCCGCACATTTTTGTGTGACAATGTGCAGTTGTTTTATGACAAAATAGTTTCGTCACATTCATTATTTTTCCTGACAAAATTAATTTCGTCATTAGATAAAGGTCTTTTCAATTTAAAAAAAATCCCTCCCATTTTTTAATTTTGAACGTCATTTTTCTTTTTTATGTGACAAAAAAAGTGTTTTGTCTCTTAAATACAAAACTAACTATTTTATGACTCCTCTTAATTAAATATTATTTAATTGACCACAAAATTTCCTTGGCATCTCTTTCCATTTTGTTTTTCGTGCGCATTTGGTCTCTCTCTCGCTCTCGTTCCGACTGTCGCCTCCACCACCACCGCCACCACCGCAGCCACCACCACCACCACCTTCGGCCTTCCGGTTGTCGCCTCCACCACCACCCCCGTCTTTCAATCTGTGGAGTGAAGGTTAGTAATTTCTTCCCCTCTCCACCCCTCTCCCTCTCTCTCATTGATAAATTTAGGGTTTTTGCTCAAAGGGCTTAAATTGGCTTATCCTCAAAATTAAATGAGATTTATTTAATTTTATATTTCAAATCTTATATAGGGGTTCTTTGATGTTTGAATTATAGATTAAGTTTTTTGAAATTAATCGGAAATATAAATCATAATTATGGTGCTTTAATTTCAGACTGATTTTTCAATGCATGTCTACTAATTAACCCGAAAGAAATTGAAGAGAAAATAAAGGCATATGTAATTTCACATTGGCATATTGTGCTTCCACAGATGACTGCGATTTATTTGTTATTTTCAATTATAATTTCATGTTGGGTGATTAATCTGCATTTTGATTTATATTGATGGTGCAAAAAAACAATTTTTTTATTGAACTTTTAAGCAATGGGTTGAAATTGAGGATTCGACATGTTAACGTGTCCAAAGTATCGACGATGAAATGTTCAACAATGACTATTGACAATGGAGAAACAGAACATATGCATATTAATGCCTTTTTATCTAAGCCTAAACACAAATCAAACAGATAATGCATTGGAAGTAGAGGAAGTTCTGGCGATAATTTATTATCCTCAATGGGCTTTAATAAAAGTAAATAATGTTCAAATGGTTTTGAGAGGTGTGCAGCTAAAGGGGGATTTAGAAGCTTTGGAGATGGAAAAAAAGCAACAACCGATTACTGCTGGACTCGGTATGTAATTTATTTACTATATTTTTCTGCAATTTGAAATTGATTATAATGCATTTCGCCATTACTTAGGTTTACTGAGCTCAAGCACAAAGAGTATAATCAGTACACCAGTACACTCACCACAGAGTTAACAGATCAAAAGGAAAAGTGTAACACCCCGCATTTTCGGTAAAATAAATTTTACCACCTTTATGTGCATATTTGTGAAATTAGAATTTATAATAATTCTTGCATGATTAGTATTTACGTGAATTAGGTAATTATGTGATTATTGCGTGAATTATGTGATTATGTGAATTATGTGCTTAGGAAATATTTCGAAATAGTATGTCGAAATAAATTATTTTTCATAAACTAGGATTTTATTCTTGCATGTAATTTAAATGAGCATTTCATCATATTTATGCATGCACAAAATTTTAGAAAATAAATTTTTATCATGCATTTTAGGATTTTTAATTAATGTCGAAAATTTGAAAATCCTCCCCACATTTCTTGAATTTTCGGACACCTCACACACACACATGATTTTTAAATTTTTGCACATTAATTGGTAGAAAAACATGCATTAGTGTGGTTGTACTTTGAGCATAGAAAGAAATACCCAAGCCTAGTTCCCTACTTTATAGACTAGGCATGCTTTTCACTCCACTTTAAGTAAGACCAAAGGTCTTTCTTCTTCTCCCTTCTTCCTCTTCATTTCGGCAGCCACACCACCACAACCATAGCCACCATTTTCTCAAGCTTGAACCACCCAAGAACCACCACCACTCCCATTTTCGAAAATTGCAAAATCACCCCCAACCCACCTAAAGATTTAATTGCCAAGAAGCCCCTCCTCAATACTTACCCATTAAGGTTGCAAGCCTCTCCATTCTATAAATAGAACCCATTACCAAGTGTTTTCTCATCTCCCCACTACAATCCTAAGAAATCTCTCTTCTCTTCTTTCTTCTTCCATTTTCGAAATTAGTAGTAGAAGACGCTCAAAATATTTTCTTCAAGAGATTCTTGAATTTGAATGTAAGAGCTTCATCTCCTCTCTTATTCGAAAATTTCCTCTCTTCCTTCTTCATATTGTTTTGTAATCTAATTCTTTATCTCTTCTTGTATTAGAGAGAAAAGAGCTAACAAATCCTTCCCCTAAAGAGTATAGGTGAGAATTCTTGAATTCTTGCTCAAACCTACAACACCACTAGTATTTTCGGTTTTTATGTATTTGTATGTGATTTATTTGTTGATTCTTGCATATTATTTGATTATATGTTTTAGATGATGATTGCATGTTAGTATTTTGAAAAGATGACTTTGTTCTTGAAGTTCTATGATTTTTCAAAAATTGGGGAAAAATGTTTTAAATGGCTTGTTTGGCTTAATTAGTGCCTTGCATGTGTTGATCTAGTATTTGATTGTTGATTTTTGAAAAGAAAATGAATTTTTGGCCTAGCCATGAAACTTTCGGATTTTTG